GTTTCTTCTTAATTACAAAGCTTTATACTTCTTGTTTGCTCTGGTAGCGTAGTGGTTATGAATCAGGCTGCGAACCTTGAGGCCAGCAGTTCGAAACTACCAGCTGCTCCGCGGGAGAAAGATGAGGCATTCTGCTCCTGTAAATATTTACAGCCTCGGAAACCCTGTACAGGGTCGCTATGGGTCGGACCCGACTCGATGGCACTTAACAACAACAACAACAACATACTTCTTGTTTAAACATTCATGAGAAACAACTGTGTTGTCAGTTACCATAGCAAGTAATGTTTAGGTACATGTTGTGATTAATGATTCTATAGAAAATAATAAGTGAAGGTAAAAATAGGATTTAAGATTTATAATTATGTTTTAGGGTTGACTTAACATTCTAGATGTCAGAAAGACTAAGGTGTTTTAACAAGATCATTTGTATAATGTTTCAAAGAAATTGTGTATGAGATCATTGTACATGGTGGCAACCTCCTCCGACTGCCCCTGAGCATGATAGTTTCGACCCTGATGCCCCCTCCCTAGAAAAGGCGGATAGAAGTGTGATCATAATTCAAAGCACTGTCAAAGTTAGATCTGGGACCCCAAGCAGGGAAAAGGCGTCTAGCTTGGAGATCTGAGCTTCCCAGCTTGTTTGAGTGTTGTCAGTAATTTACCTTAGAATTACAGAAATAGACAGGACAAAATAGATAGTTTAAAAGAACAAATTCAATGTATGAAAGCCTGCCAAATTAGCACAGATGATTATTGTCTGCAGTATGCACAAGCAGAATTAATACAACTACAGAAAACTTGATATAAACTTTAGTTAACCCTCTTCAGACTTCTCTGTCTGCCACTTATAACCATTTCTGATTGAATATATACAAAAGGCTTTTGCTTACAAGAAACCACAAGTTGCCGCCTTGGGTCACAGAGGCCCTTGTAGTTAAAGTTTAAACTATGATATGCTTGCTTGCACTTTGGCATAAGAAGACCTATGTCTAGAAAAATGGGAATAGAAAAATTAAGAACCTGTTGACATTTTTAGAAATTAACTACGTATGCAATTTTGTGAATCACCATTGTGCTGTCTCAAATGAATAATTTCATCCTGTACTTTGTGCTTCAAGTTCCTTGTATGAAAAAAGAATAAAAGACTTGGGTAGGGCTAGTTCTGTATGCAATGTCTGCAGCAGAATAGGCTGCCTGTCAGCTTGCATCAAACTTGTGTGTCTGTATCTTTGTTTCTATACTGTCTCTCTTTCGCCTCCAGACATCCCTCCTTTGTGAAGCCCACCCCCTGTTGAGGCGGGACCCCGACATTTAGTCATTGGTAAATTCACTCCTCCTGCTGACCCCACAAACTCTAGAGGAACTAGAGACCAAAAATCAAAAACACTCCCACTATGTAGGTAAAAAGGAGCTCTGGTAGCGTAGTGGTTACGAATCGGGCTGCTAACCTCAGGGTTATCAGTTCAAAACTACCAGCTGTTCCGCGGGAGAAAGATGGGGCTTTCTGCTCCCGTAAAGATTTACAGCCTCAGAAACCCTGTACAGGGTTGCTTTCAGTCGGAACCAACTCCACAGCACATAACAACAACAATGTAGGTAAAGGAGCCCTGGTGTGGCACTAAGGGCTAATGCATCAGACTGCAGTTGTCTGAACTGTAAGGTTGGTGGTTCAAGCTCACCAGCTGCTCCTTGGAGTTGCTATGGGTCAGAATCGATTCAATGGCACTTAACAACAATGTAGGTAAATACTAACTTTGGCTGTTGCTAACAGACTTGGAATTGGTCTAACCATTGGGCCAGTAAGTGTCCCCCATGTGGTGCCCTGCTGTCTGAAGCTCTCAATGCAAGTTCTAAGAACAAAGCAAAATAGGAGATGTTGGGGCTGACCAAAAAAAACTGTCGCACTTTAAAGGGGACTGGAACCAGTAAGTTGATGCCCTAATTTTATTTCTTGATATGACAATTAAATGGTCCACATCTAGTTGCGTAGTGGTTATAAATTGGCTGCTAAACTCATGGTCAGCAGTTCAAAACTACCAGCAGGAGAAAAGATGAGGTTTTCTGCACCTCTAAAGATTTATAGTCTGAGAAACCCTATACAGGGTTGCTGTGAGTTGGGACTGACTCCACAGCACACTACCACCACCACTACCAGCTGTGGCTGAGTTACCTAATGCTGCAGTAACAAAAATATCACAAATGAGTGGCTTTAAAGAACAGATATTTATTATCTCATAGTTTTAAAGGTTAGATGTCCAAGCAGGGCATTGAGTCTAGGGAAGTGTGATGAAATGAATCCCTTTATGTGGCCTTTTGCCTTGGTTCTTTGGAAAAGAGTTGGAGAGCTTCCCCCACTGAGCCCTGACAGTTATCTTTGCCCTTGTTTTCTACCTCAGATTGATTAATATTTCCTGGGGAAGCGGAAAACACTGTGGTTCGGTACTTTTTGTATTGCTAAAGCTGCAACCTGCCCTGTGATTAGAATGTACTTTACAAGTATTGGTCAACAGACTAAGCAAATGAAAGGAGACATGGAACCTCCTAAAAGAGCTATAACATGGGTCAAAGGTTATCCCACTGAAGACAGTATCAGACCCAGCAGCAGAGTTAGTTCTGAAGGGTAAGAGGAGGTTTGTCCTCCAAGGACTGAGAGAACACCTTCATCGCGGAAACGCTGAGAGAGCTGGCCTGCACAGAAGAAGGAAGACTTGCTGCATACTTCCTGATCTTCACTTATATTTTGTTCCTTAATAAACTACTTAACTGAAGGTATGATGTGCGAGTTACTGAACTAAGTAAAGCATGCCAGGGAGGAATGGCTGGGGTCAGAATTAGTGAAAAGGTTGGAGAATGGAGGTATATTTGACCTCCACCTCACAGGGATTCGCCTTGGGTTAGTCTTAATTCTCATTATCCTCCCAGAAGTTAGATAGGTTTTGACACTATTACTAGACCCATTTTAAAGGAAAGGTCCCTCCTTGTAGGTAGCCCTAAGTGTTTCTTGGCTTATAGATATTTCTCACATGTTCACTTTCCTGTGCATGTCTCTCTGTGAGTTTTCCCTTTTAATAAGACATCACTCAGGAGGGATCAGACACAGGACCTACTCTATTCTGGTATGATCTTATTAACATAAAAGAAAACCCTTATTTCCAAATAGGGACACATTTATAGGTATAAAGGCTAGAACTTTAACAATCAAAACAAACATATAGAATCCAACATATACAATTGCCAGTGAGGGTTTATTAACTAATTAAAAGTAATAATAATAATAATTATCTTATACAAAAAAACTTTGACTACAGGTCAGGGATATAGATTTTTCTGTGAGGAATAATTCCCGAAGGCCTAGAAGTAGCCTGAGCTATTTTGCTATTAAATCGTGAAGCATACTGATTGATATTGTCGCTCTGTACCCACTGGTCCAAGGGCTTTGGGCACATTACTTATCAGCAATGTGTCTTGACAACACTGACTGTCCTAGTTCTCTAACACAGAAATGCCACAGGGGGATGGCTTTAACATACAGAAATGTATTCTGTCACAGTTTAGGAGGCTAGAAGTTCAAATCCAGAGTACCAGCTCTGGAGAAAGTTCCTTATCTCCTTTCTGCACCTGTAGGCATAGCATTCTTGGGAGATTACCAGATGTCTTGGTGTCAATCTTTTCTTGAATCTAGGAACTTTGCAGTTCAGGGACCCCAGATCCAAAGGAGTACTTTACTCTCAGCTTTTCCTTCTTGGTGGAAGTAGGTCCCTCTGAGCTCTGCTTACCTTGCTAATTAATCTCTCTTATATCTCAAAAGAGACTGACTCAAGATACAACCTAACCCTGTAAATGGCATCTGGCCTCATTAACATCATAGAAGTGAAAATTTACAGCATATAGGATAATGACATGAGATCACAGCTGATCACATCAGATCATATCATGGAAGGGATTACATTATATTAGATCTCGCCAATTACGACATCTTAATTACCAAACCACTGGGAATCCAGGTACAGCCAAATTGATACAAAACCTTATCTATCACAATGATACTCATGGTTACATAGGTTTCTCCTGTTATGTAACAGAAATATGCCATGTGACAAAGAAAACATAAGACTCCCCTAACTGAAACTCCATTTTTGGGCTGCCCAGTCCTTAGTGTCCTGTCCATGCATGAGAGGTCACTGGTCCAGGAGAAGAAATGCACCCTGCTCCTGGCCCTTATGAAGGAGGACAACAGGAATCTGTCCCTGACTTCTCTGGACCTTCTGCTTTGAGATGGCCACAGGCCGGAACGCATCTCCTTTCTCTATTACTGCTGCTATCTTGCACCTTTTTCCTTTAATAACTGTACATTTGTCAGCATTAACATTTTGGATCCTCTGAGTCTTCTTTTTTTTATAATGTAGCTTTTATTAAGTAGAGAGAAAAAAATTCAGTTGCATGATACAAAGGTTCCAGTGAGATCAAATTCCAATAAAGCCCTTCCCACCTGTGTGGAATGAGCTGCTGCCACTACTCTCTGAGGCTTCGTAAGCCATCAAACCCTGCTTAACTGTTTTAACTTGCACTATTGGTATAGTTGGAATCCTGGTGTGGGTACTATAGAATAAGCACTGGACTGCTAACTGCAAGGTTGGCAGTTAAAATCCACCAGTCACTCCTCTGAAGCCCTCCCTATACAGTGTCACTAAGAGTTGGAATTGACTTGACAGCACTTAACAGCATTACAACATTGGTACAGCTATCATGGGGAATGGAAATAGAAATTAATTCATTTATGTTGCCCCAAGAAGAAACAACTAAGACTGATGGGATACAAGAGGGCGCTTACTTCACCTTTTAAAGTGTTGAACAAGTCTGATGTTCACTAACATAAACAACACATGTTCACGAAACCTCTTTAAGCAGTAGCTAGATGCTAATTTGTTTCTGAGATTAGTGTCTTAGGGACATGACCTCATCAGAGTTTGGAAAAACATTGTCAGTAGGAACCATACCTGTGATGTCAGCTTCCCTGCATTCTGCATTCGCTCAATTTCTGCAGGAGATTTGATGAGCCGCAGGCGCTGCACCAGCTGCTGGACAGCCTGGACTTTGTTCTTGCTCCTGGCTTTGGCTTCAGTCAGAGGCTGCATGTATTCAGAGTGAAGCTGTGCATGAGAGGGCCTCATCCAGTCGTACCAAACTGTAGTTGTCTCAGCTTAAAAGAAGGAGCCAAAAATAGATAGGAAAGAGAACTAACAGCAGTGACAAGCAATACCAATTCTCAGAATGACTTAAGCGAGAGTCACAACTTCAACATCAGTGGTGTGGAACTCTAAAGCATTGGGTGAAAACTATCTCAGAACGATAGTAATTGAAGAGTTTGACTATAAACCTTTGGAATGAAACATACAGCTTTTCTGCCTTAAAAGTTCAGTGTTCTTTGTAAGGATGATAGATGTTGTTGTTAAGTACCGTGAAGTCAGCTTTGACTCATAGTGACCCTGTTGTTGTTGTTGTTAAGTGCCGTCGAGTCGGTTCCGACCCATAGCGACCCTGTACAGGGTTTCCGAGGGTGTAAATCTTTACGGGAGTAGAAAGC